AGAGGCCATTAGGTTAGTTGAAAAGGCCATTGAGGAACGACAAATATCCTATATAGATTATACCCAACCCTGGATTTTGGGCATTCTTTTCACCAAATATACGCCCACTGCAGTTCTTTGGCAACAAAGGCCCCTTTTGTGGATTCATCTGCCGGTTTCTCCATCCAAAGCTACCATTCCATATTATGAAGCTGTGGCACAATTAATAAGTCTGGGTCGTTTTGAAGCCCGAAGTTGTTTTGGGCAAGAACCCCCTACTATCATCATTCCTTATAGTAATAAGCAGATTGATTGGTTGTTCCAAAATGTGGATGATTGGGGTATAGCCCTTGCAGGGTATTCAGGCAAAATTGATAATCATTTTCCATGTCATCGCTTGTTACATTTTGCCTCATTACATGCTTTTGTTTTTCCCAAAGTTGTGTCTAAACAACCTCTTGAGGCCGCCTCCCTCCCATGGTATTTACTGATGGATTGGTCTCAGGAGTGGCCATTTATGTTTTAAATGATAAAGTTTATCAATTTTTTGTTAAGTCCTCCTCTGCTCAGGTTGTGGAATTATCAGTAGTAACTAAAGTTCTGGAAGTCTTATCAGAACAGCCATTTAATTTGTATACAGATAGTTGCTATGTTGCTAAATCTATCCCATTATTAGAGACTGCTGAGCTGCTTCAAACATCACAGGCTGAGATCTTATGTTTATTCCAAAAAATAAGAGATCTTATTAGGCGAAGAACCACACCCTTTTTTATTGAACATATTCGAGCTCATTCTGGCCTTCCTGGCCCCCTTGTTAAAGGCAATGAGTTGGCTGATCGCTCAACGCGTTTAATGATGCTCACCCAGATTGAAAAGGCCTCACATTCACATCAACTTCATCATCAAAATAGCCGCACCTTGCATGCACAGTTTCATATAACCCACGAAGCAGCGCGCCAGATTGTTAAACAATGTTCTGTTTGTCCAACGCATCACTCTGTCCCACATTATGGGCTAAATCCCCGGGGACTGAAACCTAATCAGTTGTGGCAAATGGATGTTACTCATATAGCTGAATTTGGACGAAAAAAATATGTACATGTCAGCATTGATACATTTTCTGGATATATTATGGCTACAGCCCAGGTTGGTGAGGCCTCTAAACATGTCATGTCTCATTGTTTAAAATGTTTTGCTGCCATTGGATTACCTTCAGTAATTAAAACCAATAATGGCTCAGGCTATGTCAATAAGGCCTTTAGACAATTTTGTAATCAATTAAATATTGTACATAAAACAGGAATTCCATACAATCCGCAAGGACAAGGGATTGTAGAAAGGGCCCATGGTGCTCTTAAAAATCAATTAAATAAAGTAAAAAGGGGGGAGTTGTATCCCCTATCTCCACAAA